AGCTCCTGCATTGAGTGTCTGCCCCCTGGTGGTCAGTGTGTGTCATAGTGACCAGTCATTCCCAGTCGTTCTGCTGTTAGGGTCAATTTGCATATTACCCTTTTATTATATGCCTAGTGCATGGGTGGGGGCTGGCTGATTTGCTCTGAAGGTGTCCCAGATCATGTGGGGGTCCTGCTGGGGTGCCTGGCCAGCCTGGGTGAGGGGCTGAGGGCCATTTTCAGACTTGCCAAACCCCCTTCAGGGTGAGGGTCCCTACTGGGGTGCCTGGCCAGCCTGGTGAGGGGCTGAGGGCTGTTTTCAGGCTGGCCACACCCCCTTCAGGGTGGGGGGTCCTGCTGGGGTGCCTGGCCAGTCTGGGTGAGGGGCTGATGACTGTTTGCAAGCTGGCCACAGCCCCTTCAGGGTGGGGGTCCCCGCTGGGGTGCCTGGCCAGCCAGCCTGGGTGAGGGGCTGATGGCTGTCTGCAGGCTGGCCTCGGCCCCCAGCCTCCCAAACTCCCAGTGGAGGCTGGCTGGAAGCAGGTATCTGGAATTTATTTATCTTCTATAATTGAAACTGTGTTGCCTTGAGTGGAGGCCACAGCCGGCCAGGGCAGGTGGGAAGCTTGGCTTCCTCTATCGCCGGGGCAACCAAGCCTCCTGCTGGCTCCAGCTCCGTGGCTGCCGGCCACTATCTTGGTTGGGTTAATTTGCATATAGTCGCTCTGATTGGCTGGTGGGCATGGCTTTGGGAGTAGCGAAGGTACGGTCAATTTGCATGTTTCTCTTTTATTAGATTAGATATAAAAATATATATCAAGTGACTTAATGAAGATCAAATACTTGTTAGTGAGTAGCTAGTTTCACCCTTAAAATCTCAGACCAGGTCCAGAAATTTTCTTGCACTTTCCTGATCAGCAGGAGCAGCTATGTCCCTAAAACTCTGGGAAATCTCAAGTTGGAAGGGTTTGGTAGTACTAGTTCAGTTCTTACCAGATGTGTGAGTTTCCTCAACATCCTAAAACAGGTGTTTTCTATGTTCTACTTTGACATTCCTGGAGACTGGGGAGCGGTTACTTATTGAATGAGTCAATTCCATTTTACTTTATTTAATTAATTCTCACCTGAGGATGTTTTCTCCATTGATTTTTAGACAGAATGGAAGGGAGGGGGAGAGACACAGAGAGAGAAACATTGATGTGAAAGAGACACATGGATTGGTTGCCTCCCGCAGGCGCCCCAACCAGTATGTGCCCTTGACCGGAATAAAATCTGGGAGCCTTCAGTCCATGGGCTGATACTCCAACCAGTGAGCCAAACCGGCTAGGGCAGTGGTTCTCAACCTTCCTAATGCTGCAACCCTTTAATACAGTTCCTCATGTTGTGGTGACCCCCAATTTCATTGTTACAAATTGAACATAATTAAAGCATAGGGATTAATCACAAAAACAATATGTAATTATATATGTGTTTTCCAATGGTCTTAGGTGACCCCTGTGAAAGGGTCATTTGACCCCCAAAGGGGTCGCGACCCACAGGTTGAGAACCGCTGGGCTAGGACATCAATTCCATTTTAAACATCCCTGACTCTCTAAGATGTAACTCCCTGCCTCTTTTGCCCATATCCCTTGTTCGTCCTTGTGGGCTGCATAGGAATGCATCTTCCATACAGTGGAACTTATCTTGTTCAAGCCACATGGCCAGCATTCTTACTTGCTCTCATGTGTCAGTGAAGAAAGCAGGCATTTTGGTGTCAGAAAAACCTGGATTCAAATTCCCTCTCACCCATTGATCTTGGAAAGTTTCCTTCATCATCTTGGGCTCTTTCTCTAGAACAGTGTCTGGCATTTAATGTGTTGCTGTTATTTTATTTTTTATTAGGTTTTAAGTCTCCAAAACATTTTTTTTATTTTTCTGATAACCAAGTTATTATCCTTTGATTCCTTGAGTTAATGTCCTTTATAAAATGTGTTGCTCAGTACTGAACATGTTACTGAATAGACCTCAGTGGAGTGAGATAATCACCTTGTTTAGATGCCGTTTTCATACTACCCCAAATCAAATTAGCTTTTTTGGGAGGTGTAATACATCTGAAAATCCCAGATTTTTCCCCTCACATATTACTATCAAACTATCTTTTCTAATAATAGACAAACATGGTAATTGACCGTAACTTCGCTACTCCTCCCATTGGCTAATCAGCCCGATATGAAAATTAACCACCAACAAAGATGGTGGCTAATTTGCATACTGCAGGCAGGGCGGGACAGCGCCATCCCACCTGCCCTGCCACCATCTGGGCCTGCTATCTGCGACCCGGGGTGGTGGGCGTCCGTGTGCGACCTGACCAGGGGCAGCCGGGCGGTGCAGCAGTGATCGGCCAGCCCGCCCGGCCTCCATCCGGGCATCTCGTGTGGGACCTGCCCGGGGCGTCCCGTGTGCGACCCGACCCGGGGCGGTGCCCCAACCCCCGGATCGGCCCTGCCGTGTGCGTGACCGGGGAGGTGGGGCAGGCATCGAGGGATAGGGTCTGCCATCTGCCACCCAGGGAGCGGGCCTAAGCCAGCAGGTGGTTATCTCTCGAGGGGTCCCCGACTGTGAGAGGGCACAAGTGGGGCTGAGGGACACCCCCCCCTCCAACCTCCCCCGCCAGTGCACAAATTTTTGTGCACCGGGCCTCTAGTCCTACATAGTTGGCTAAAATATTGTTTTCATCATTTTATATTTCTACTTGAATTTAAATTTTTATCTGTGCTTCAGTTGCTATATTAGAGTTACAGCTAATACTCTATAATTTCTCAGCAGTTTTATATATGCAGTCTCATTTAAATCCTCAGAATGACCCTGGGAGGCATACATTGCCTTCATGATTATGATTTGGAAATGGAGGCTGGAGGTGTGACTTGCTCAAGTTCAAGCAGCTAGTAAGCAGAATCAACACTGAAGTCAGGGCTCTTATGACACCAGTCCAGTGTTGTTTTGAGGAAGGAAAAGAGAGAAAATGAGCTCTCAATTAGATGGAGGTAATAAGGGAAGTTTTTTTGAAGAAAGTAAATATGGGGTTTTATAAGAAACGATCAGCAGATGGGGGTGCATGGGGTTGAGGTAAGGGGGACTTATAAGCAGGAAAGGTCCCAAGAATAATTTTTTTTGACATATTGGGCCCCCAAGCTAGGCCAGTGATTCCCAACCGAACTGTCTATCATCATCACCTGGGGAGCTTTTTAAAGCTCGCCTGTTGCCTCCCCCCACAACCTTCCCCCCAAGATTCTGAGTCAGTAGATTTTACTTGTGTTATTTATATATCTCTACATGTAATTCTGACATATAGCCTCTGTTGCAAACCACTAGGCTAGGGTCTGGAGGGTCAGTTACCTAGACAGAGTGGTTTAGGGGTCCTTATTGTAGAGAAATGAGTTAGGTCGATGGAATTGGGGAGGGGGAGAGGATACAAAGCAGGTAATGGTATTATATGAGTTCCTGAGAGGAAAACTTTTGATGATAAGGAAACCCTACAGGTCTCTAAGCAGGAGAGTAGGATGTTTTAAGCCCCTGTGGACGCTGATAACTTTGAATCAGGACTCAGCCCACATTCCCTTTCTAAATCCAGTCTCTATTCATCAATCTAAACAGGATTATGTCAGTCCCCTCACTTAATCCACTTTCATTACATCTTTACCTTAAAATGTTCCTGTGGCTGTGGCCCATGTGGTTGGAGCGTCGGCTCGTGCACTGAAGGGTCATGGGGTTGTTGATTCCTGGTCAAGGGCACGTACTTCAGTTGCAGGTTTGCTCCCTGCCCCAGTTTGGGGCGTATGTGGGAAGCAACCAATCAATTTCTCTCTCTCTCTCTCTCCCTCTCTCTCTCTCTCTCTCTCTCTCTCTCTCTCCACCCACTTTTACTCTCTGAAAAGCAATGGAAAAATAGCCTTGGGTGAGCATTAACAACAACAACAACAACAAAATGTTTCTGTGGTTTCAGACTCATTACCTTCCCCCTTTGCTGCTGAGTCTGGGTCTTCATCCCATTTTTGCCCTCCCTCTGCTTGCAGAAATGTTACGAAAACTTTGGACACTCACTTCAGAGTTTTATAATCTTTACTAGGGGCCCAGTTCACGAATTCATGCACCTTAAAAGGAACTGTGGGCCGCAAGGCTGAGGTGGGAACAGGGGCGGGTCTCGGCCCCTCCCCCCACAACCCAGATCCTCTGTCTGCTGCTGGCAGCCCTGCTCCTGCCTCCTCTCCCATGCACTGACAGCACAGAGTGATTGGGGCCATGGCACCAGCAGCCGGTGCAAGCAGCGGCTGCTGTCCTGATCCCCCCTCAGGAGCAGGGGAAGGTGGAGAAGCCCTGAGGGGTGATCAGGGTTGGCAGGCACTGCTCACACCCGCTGACAGCACTGGGTGATCCCGGCCAGTGCCAGGAGCTGGCAGCAGGTATGAGCACTGGGTGGGACTGTGCACGGGAGTAAAGAATTTTCAGCAACCACCAGAGGCTCGCCCCAATGACAGCAACAGATGCCCCGCCTTGGTCTGGTGCCCCTGCTCACCTGCTCCACCATCCTACCACGGCCAACACCCACCATGTTCCGCACGCAGCCCCTGGTGGTCAGCGAACCTCATAGCAACTGGTTGTTCAGTCTATTTGCATATTAGCCTTTTATTATATAGGATTTTCAATCTGCCAGACCAGGCTGTCTATTCCTGTGCTAGTCAGTCTTGAGCTCTGTCTGATGGGTGCCAAGCTGTATCCTGACCTGTGTGGGGAGCCATGGAGGGAGAAGACAAGACCCAGACCTCAAGAAGTTCCCAGTTTAATGGGGGAGACAAGATACACACATGAAGAAGGCTGGAGCATAGTTACAAAGCATCAGGTCTGATCAATACATTAGAAATCTAAAGCATTAGAGACCCAACCAAGCCCTCAGCCCCTCCTCTAAGTTCCCTTGGGTCAGAACTTTCCTGAGTCTCCTTTGACCTCATTTAGTATTTCTCTTCCATCTCTTTCCCATTGGCTTCTTTCTAGCATCAACAGCTAGGCCAGTGTCTAGGTGTGGTGTCAAAGCTTATAGCAAGATTGCTTTAGGATTCTCTGCTTCAGTCTGATCATCCCCAGCTACCAACCACCTCACAAGGATTGAATTCGTATTAGCCGTCTTGCTTCCAGAGCATGGCCTGATCGTGCTTCTATGCCTAACCATTTCTTCTTTGGTCAGGGAGCTGTGTTCTGTTGGGAAGGAAAATTCAATCAGGAAGGAATATCCAGCAGGTGAGAGAGATTCCTACAGTCTCAGTAACCGATTGGTCTAAGGATTCCTGAATCTAGAACCCTCATCTTCTCCCTCTCCCAGCCCACTCAACCCATACTTAGCCCCCAGCACCTCTGAAGGTCCAGGGACAGCCCTAGTCTGTGGTGAAGTCAGAACTCGGTACTCCTTCTGCTTGACTCACACCCCTGTCCCCATTTGTCATCTCTGTCATCTCTCTGCCTCTGCGTCCCAACAGAGAGGAGCCCTGATGTCGCAGCATCTGAAGCCCTTTTCCAACGGCTCTGCGCACATCTGAAGAAGAGAAATAGAAAAGCAGGGGGTCCAGACTGGCGTTGAGGGAACTGAATACCACAGCTTCTGCTCGCCATGTGGGGCTTTTCTTCGTGTAAAACCCCACCAGGTGGGATACGTTATAAGGCCCGAAGCACACCAAGAAATTGAGGAGTGTCACGACAGCCAGCCCCACAGCTCGGCGCCGCCTCTGGACCCCCACATGGGGCTGGGTGAGCATGATCCACACAAAGCGCCAGTAGCAGAAGATGGTGACCCCCATGGGGATGAAGAAGAGGACCAGGCACAGCTCCAGCCGCACAGGAATCACCACCTCCAGCTGCTCTTTAGTGAAGTTCTCATAGCAGGTAATTTCACTTATCTCTGTGGCATTCGCGGCCGGTTTCAAGTACTGAACGATGATCACGATGGTGCAGTGACCAAAGGACATGATCCAAGCAACCAGAGCAGCAATCACCCCATATATAGGCCGGCGGGACAGCTTGTACTGCACGGGGAAAGCCACTCCCAGGTAGCGCTCGATGCTGATGCCTGCCAGGAGCCACGTGCTGCAGTAGATGCTGCTGTAGAAACCGAATCCTGTGAGGGCACAGACAATCTCAGGCAGATACCAGCGGAAGTTAGATGCAGCCTCAATGATCTTGAAGGGCAGCAGCAGCAGCAGAAGAAGGTCCGCCAGCGTCAGGCTGAGCAGGAGGATGTGGACAGGTGCAGGGTGGGGCTGGCGGACCCGGCCCACGAAGGCCCGCAGGGCCAGGAGGTTTGCAGGGAGACCAGTGAGGAAGATAATGATGTAGGCCGAGAGAATCAAGGAGCTCTTCAAGTCTGGCATGACTATTCTGGAAGAGAATGAGAAAGGGCAGGGTCAGGAGTCCCCACTCACAGCCTGCAGACCTGCCTCCGGTTCAGGAAGAGGACATCCTCTCTGGCAGCTCCCCTTCCCAGGCCCAGGCTTTCTGCTGCCACCACTGCTTGCTCACAACACCTGCTAGAACTGCCCAGAGCAATTATTGACTTTGCCTGGGGCGGGATATTAACTATGAGTTATTACGTTTGCCATCATGTGTCTCTGGAGGAGACCAACCCTTGGCTTCCCAAGGGAATTCCCCTCTGGTTTCCCAGCCTTTCTCTTGCTCTCCTCACAGATACAGGAAGTTACTGATATCAATTTCCAACTTTCCTTAAGTCCCTTCCTCAGTCAGAGATCTTCAGAGAGAAAAGGCAAGCCTTCTCACACAGAGAATGCTGTGAGAACCAGGCCCCCACCCAGTGCTGGCTCGCCACACAACCCCCCAACACACCAAGGAAGCAGGTGCCCAGCCCCCAACCCATCTGCCTACCTTGTTTTCCTCTCCTTTTGCAGAACACAGATTCTCCTCCACCGTTTCCTCCCCTGTCCAATACCAGACTCTGGGACTGTACTAAAAAAGGAAGCTAGTTAAGTGTGGGGGTGGAGGCAGTAGGAGGAACAGTGAGCCAGCATGATTTTGGGGGACTTGTCCCCCAGAAAGTTAGAGAATATTCAGGAAAACCTGCAGGCAGTCACTGGCTCCTGAGCCTGGAGTTTTGACTGTAAATGGAAGAACTCTTCTTAATGGGGTAATTCAATTTCCACTTTGGTTATGACCCTCGCCACCCACACAGTCTGGCCCCTCCATCCTCTTCCAGGCTTGATGTCCCAGGCCTCGTTTCCTTGCCCCCACACTGGCTCCCGTCTCCTTATATTCAATTCTGACAGATTTCCTCCAGCTCAATACCGTCTCCTCCCAATTCTGATCCTACCATCACTTCCCAGAGCTCAAGCACTAAGCTAGCTGCCTTGCCTTGTCTTCGTTCCGGATAGATGGCTTCTTGGAAAAGAAAGTCTGAAAGCTTCTGAGAAGGAGAAACAGAGCTTCAGCCACTGCTACCGCCCATTTCATACAGGAAAATATTGTAAGGAACCTGGCTGCTAGAAAGCTTTTATACCAGCACAAGTCATGTGACCAGAGAGAGGAAGGTCAGTAATTGAGCACTGTCTCCTCTCCAACCCGAAGGAAAAGGCGCCTGCATCTTCTGTCTCACTCTAGAGACCCGCACTCAGACTTCCAAACCCAATTCCTGAATTTCTTTTCAATCCTAGGCATTTTTCCCATTTCCCAAGTCAGAGTCTCTTCCTTCTCTTCTCTTCTCTTCTCTTCTCTTCTCTTCTCTTCTCTTCACAATTTTTTTCTGTAATTCTACTCATTCTCAGAAAAGAGGATTTCTACTTCCTTTTATTCTTCAACTAGAGGCCTGGTGCACGAAATTCGTGTATGGGTAGTGTCCCCAGGCCTGGCCAGCGATCAGGGATGATCAGGGCCTTCCAGCTGCCAGCCAGGGTCTTCCTCTCCTTGTCAAACTCCTGAGGGGACACTTTGCATATTAGCTTTTTATATATATAGGTCTTTCCTCCTCTCTATATGGTCTCCTGTCCTCTGCCCCTAATAAGTTTCTTTTACATTCTCAGTTGAAACAGATTGGTCTCTCCCAGCCTGTCTCTTGTTCTAGAAGAAGTAGCGTGGGATTTAGAGTCATGCACATGTGGGCGCAATCCAAGTCCCTTCACTGTGACTTTGGGGCAGATCAATTTTCTGAACATTAGTTTCCATTTCAGTCAAGTGAGTTCGGGAATACTTACATCCCAGGATTTCTGTGAGGAGTCAGTGAGGTAGCATATGCAAAGCATTTGGGCCAGTGCTTAGCACTTCATAGATGCCCATAGGTGGAAGTGCTCCCTTCTTTGAAGCCTGTTGGACAGCTTCTGAGAGAGTGGCTACTTGATAAAATATCCAGAGGCTGAGGACACAGACCTACCATCTGACTTGGGAAAGTGTCAGGGATTCAGTGGGCCCAAAGTGCCTGTGCTGGAGGCTAATTCCAGCATGTCATAATAAATGCAAGAAGTCCTCAAAGGGTTGATGGGCTTTTATATTCAGCAGGGCTGAATCATATTATTGCCTGCTGGAATAGCTGAAAGCATTTCCCCAAACCTAAAGATTTGCATATATTATTGTCTGCTGCCTGACAGCCGAGGGCAGTTCCCCCAACCTGACAATGCCTACTATATACTAAACCTTACCTTTGATATGTATATCTGCTTTGCTTTAGGGCAATTTGTGTTAATAAAAAGCTAGGGGTCCAGAGATTCAGAGAACTTTGTTACTGAAGCTAAGCCCTCCTCTGGCTCCCCCAAAATGCTTTCCAAATTTATATTTCATGTCTAGTCTCTTTATTAATTTACTTACAGCCCTTTTCCGGATTCCCAAACCCTTCTAGATGCTGAGAAACACCCCGGCATGCCTTTTTGGCCCTTTCTAGGGGATTAGTAGTCAGGTTCCATTCCTTTTCCTCATACATTCTCTCCCTGTGAATTGGGCCAACCTCTGAGCCACCTGCTCTTTTCTCACTATTTTCACCTGTTTAGCTCCCATTGAAACACATGCCTGAGGAAATAAAGGATCAGAACATGTTTCCCTTTGACCTAAGGGATGGGTCTCTGTTTTGCCCTTTGTGGCCTGATCCCTACTCACAGAATCTTCATTCTTTCTCAAGGACATACTTATTTCCTATTGCTTGCCCATTCATTCATTCATTCATTCATTTTGTGGCCTAGACCCCAGGGTCCAGGTATCTTAATATTTAACTTTTCTTTCTCTTCAGCTCTCCTCTCCTCTAGAACTAAGGAGTTCTATCTTTTCATTAATTTCCTTCCCTCAGCACAGACATGCACTTCCCAGATAAACAGGGGAACTAAGGAAGAGACCATTCTCTATTGCTTGTTATTAAATTTATTGTATTTGTGTTGTTTTGCTTTTATGATTTTCCATAAATATTCACGAGGATCTGAATTTAATTGCAAAGCGAAAACTTACTGGAAAATTGATGCTGGGAATAGGACTGCTTCTTTATTCCTGCCTGTTCTTCCCCACCTCATGCCTTTCTCATATCACTCTTGTGTATAACTATGTTGAAGGCCCCCATTGAACCCCTTCTCCATGTTTATGGTAGTTATGAAGGTAACACAATAAAGGAAACTTTTGAACTCATGATTCATGATGCTCACCTATGTCACAGGAAAAGGAAATGCAATCTCTCAGGCTGAATTTAAGGGCTGAGATTTCACAAAAGCAGTATCTTTCACAATCTCTTCAAGTTCAGTTTTCTCTCTTCATCATTATAACCCAGCTTGTTATGCTAGGAAGTTGAGCCCATTATCTAAATGTATAATCACTTTCTCCACTTCCTTATTTCTTAGTCACTCTTCAGTCTACTCTAATCTGGGTAACATCCCTATTTTTCCATAGGATCTGTTCTTTGTCCATAGTTTCTTATTATATTATTAGCATTCAACACAGTTTCCACACCCATCTTGAATTCTTTCCGTGAATTCTGATACGTTATGTTCCTCTGGCTTTCCTGCCTTTTCTTTGGTCACATCTTAATCCCTTTGCCTCTACATCCTCTAAATGTTGGAGCTCCTTAAGACTTGGTTCTAAGTTCTTTACTATCCTCATCCTGTGCTCTCTCCCTAGTCTATTGCATCCATTTCCAGAGCATCAATTATCATTTTCATAACATCCAGTTTTGAATCTCCATCCTGGGGTTCTGTGAGTGTCCACCTGCCTAGTAGACACTGTCATTTGGATGTCTCCCAGCATCTCAAATCCAGTGTGTCTAGAGCCAACTTTAGATTTTCTCTACCAAACTGGCCCCTGTCGAAATCCTGGTAACAGATAGTGGTGGCTTATGCTAAGATTCAGCTAGATTCTCTTTTATATGTTCTTGTAGCATCTTTTCTATTGCTGAATAGTACTGTTTTATAGATATTTTATTTTTATTAATTAATTAATTTTAATCCTCACTCTAGGACAGTGATGGCGAACCTATGACACGCGTGTCAGAGATGACATGCGAACTCATTTTTTTGGTTGATTTTTCTTTGTTAAATGGCATTTAAATATATAAAATAAATATCAAGAATATAAGTCTTTGTTTTACGATGGTTGCAAATATCAAAAAATTTCTATATGTGACACGGCACCAGAGTTAAGTTAGGGTTTTTCAAAATGCTGCCACGCCGAGCTCAAAAGGTTCGCCATCACTGCTCTAGGATATGCTTTTTCATTGATTCGAGAGGGAGAGGAAGGGAGAAATATCGATCAGTTGTTTCATGCACTCACCCTAACCAAGAATAGAACCCACAACCTAGATATGTTCCCTGGCTGGGAATTGAACACATGAGCCTTTGGTGCACAGATGATGCTCTAACAACTGAGCAACCGGCCAGGCCTGTTTTATGGATGTTTTATATTTTATTTATCCATTTACCTGCTGACAGACATTTTTTTTCCCTTCTGTTTTTAGCCTGTGTTAACAAGACTGCTATATACATTGTTGGGTAGGTGTGGATATGTGTTTTCAGTTCTGTTGGGGAAATACCTAGGAATATATTGACTAGGTTGTATGCTAAACTTTAACTTTTTAAGAAACTGCCAGTTTCTCAAGGAGGCTGTACTGTTTTTATTTCCACCAGCAATGTATGAGCATTCCTATTGCTCCACATCAGCAGCAGCATTTGGTATTTGTTAGTCTTAAGTCTTAGGCATTCTAATTAGTGTGTCATGGCATCTCATTGTGGTTTTAATGAGAATTTCTCTAAGGTCTACTGATATTGAGCATCTTTTCAAGTACTTATTGGTCTTTTGTGTATCTTCTTTTGTGAAATGTCTGTTCAAGTTTTTTGCCCACTTTTTATTGGATTATTTCATACTATTAATATTGAGAGCTCAGTAAACCCTCGATTTTATGGACCTCAATTTAACAGACTTTGGATTTAATGGACAAAATTTCTGGTCCATATGTCATATATGAAAATTAACACCATGTTAATTTATACATATACTAAGGGCCCAGTGCATGAATTCATGCACCTTGAAAGAAATTGTGTATCACGAGGCTGCAGTGGGCACAGGGGCTGGTCTTGGCCCATCCTCTGTGCCTCTGCCCAGCCCCTCCCACCACAGCCCCTGGTCCCCTGTCGGCCAGCTGCCCCACTCCCACTGCCACCACTCCCATGCGCTGATGGCGCCGGTGCTGCTCGCACCCGCTGATGGCATGGAATGACTGGGACCGGCACCAGCAGTGGGTGTGAGCAGCAGCTGCTGGCCCTGATCACCCCTCAGGAGCAGGGGGAGGTGAAGAAGCCCTCAGGGGCAATCAAGGCTGGCAGCCACTGCTCGCACCCGCTGATGGTGCTGAGCGATTGGGCCTGGTGCCAGGCACCGGCAGCAGTGCGAGCAGTGGCTCTGGCACCAGCAGTAGGTGCAAGTGGGGCCAGCGCTGGCAGCAGGTGTAAATGCCGGGCAGGACTGCAGCGAGCGGGAACAACGAATTTTCAGTAACCACCAAGTGCTTGCCCCGATGACAGCAACTGGCACCCTGCCTTGGTCTGGTGCCCCATTCACCTGTTCCACCATCCCACCGTGGCTGATGCCCGCCACGTTTTGTGCAAGCCCCCTTGTGGTCAGCGCACGTCATAGCGACTGGATGTTTGGTTGTTCTGTCATTTGGTCTATTTGCATATAGCCTTTTATTATATAGGATATATATATTTTATTGATTTCAGAGAGGAAGGGAGAGGGAAAGATAGAAACATGAATGATGACAAAGAATCATTGATTGGCTGTCTTCTGCATCCCCCCCGCCCCCGCCCCCCGCCACTGGGGACTGAGCCCAAAACCTGGGCATGTGCTCTGACTGGAATTGAACCATGACCTCCTGGTTTATAGGTCAATGCTCATTCACTGAGCCATACCAGTTGGGTAATTTTTAAATGCTTTTAATCAAGATTTGCTTATAATTAAATTAACAGGTTATTTTTGTT